GAGCTCAGCGTTGCGTTCCCTTCCCCTGCCTCGGTCGAGCATCACTCACTAGAAACTGTCGATTCGAACGTTCCTAGCGGGCCTGGCTGAGAGGTGCTTTAATGTTGACAAAAGTATACTTTTCGTCCCCCAAATTTTGGCAGAGTCTAAATTTGGTCCTTGAATTTCAAAACCACACAATTGCACCCTGAACTTTTCAAACCGGACAAATTTCGTCCCTCATCCTAGCCAACGCGGTATTCATGTTAAGTCAACATGGTTTTGACCAAATGCAGTCCAGTTGGCAATTTCTCTCTCTCCTACTCAGATCATCTTATCCCCTTTTCATCCTACCTAAGGCCGGCATTTCGTCGACCAGTTTGTGTGCGTTGCTCGTTCGTGCTGCCGCCTGCGCTCCTGGGCCACTAGTTGCTTTGCAACCGCATCCTGCTACCCCGTTTGCTCCTAGGCCTCTGCTATCACTGTCGGTTCCTGCCAAAGGACGCCCAGATGAATCGAGCATCGCCAAGTGAGTGCATCTCTGCTCCGGCAGGTCACCGCCATGCGCCCCATGTCCAGCGACGGAGTCCCGCTGGAGATGTATTCGGCCGAGCGCCTCCCGCGGGCTGGTGTGCCGGCCGTGGGCTCTCGCATGACCTCGGTGCCGCCTCTACACCAACCACACACGTGCCTTCCCGTGGTGCCCTGCACTCGCCATGGATGCGTTCGGGTAGTCCAGCTTGGGGGCGACACATACCTCCTGCTTCTTCTCAATGCTCAACGTTGAATCTCCGATGACAGCGACAGCGGGACGCTCTATAGCAATGCGCGCCTCTGCTGGGCAGCCCGCCCTCCGCACTCGTCCACACACTAAGCTCCATCATCGGTGCCGCTCTCCTGGTCAGTGGTCATCTTGATCGACCGTGGCGGATGGAGAAGGAGCTACGGTCCGCGGTCCAGAGGCTTCACTGCTGCTGCGCTTGGCTTTTGGTGGCTGTTGGAATGCTCTGGACAGGGTGGCGAGAGCGAGATAGAGGAGAGGAGAGGAAGCGAGACCGAGGTGAGGGCATGAGCTCGGCGTCAGCGTTGCGGGCAGCGCGGCAGGGAACACGCGCTGGAGCGGCCTCCATGCCCACGTCTTTCCATTGCTGCTGGACGCACGCCAACAGCTCGGCGAAACGCCTACCTGAGATAGAATGAGAAGGAAGAAGAAAATTCGCTAGAGTACGTGGACACAGATCCGGTCAAAACCACGACCACATCATTGTGAAACCGCTTCCAGGCAGGAGATGGACTTAACTGGTCCAGTTTCAATACTTCAGGGTGTAACTTGTCCGATTTTAAAGTTGAGGAATCAAATTTAGACTCTGTCAAGAGTTGAGGGATGAAAATTATATTTTTCTTTTTAATATTTATGCGATGCGGGACAAATAGTGTATACGAACAGCCAAACAGTTCATTTTCATCATGCGCGGGCCTGATTGGCCTTTATGCCGACTACCAAACACGCCCCAAGCCAGTGAAAAACCATACAAGTCATTTGGGAGCGTACCAAACCTATCCATTCTGCTGCTGGAGGATGTATATTGCAGATTGAAGGGCCTATCACTTTCCAAAGTGGCCTATTCGGAAGCCTCGTGGTACTCGAGCTTTATTACATGCGCGAATCCTTGGATTTTGAGCTAACACCGATGCCGAAACTTGAGATGCTGAGGCTGGAACTTGTGAGTTCTACAACTGGCTTTTCTCGTCTGGAATTCCTCCCAAACATCCAGGAAATGTGGCTATCTGTCGTTATTTTGCTAGAGGAAAATATATCCGAAGAAGAGGTGGAAAAGGAAGCAAATCGCAGGGAAGATGAAGCCAAGAAGAATATTAGGAAGCAGCTTGCTGCCAATCAAAATGGACGTAGAACGATTTTGAAGGTGGAATGAATGAGCTAGGCGAACAAGTGTAGTTTCTCTCTTTTTTTTTCTTGTGCTTTGGGTTATCATTTCTCTTCTACTTCCCAGGATGACGCTTCCATTGCTTTCAGGCTGTACTCTTAAGATGCAAAAAAAAAAAAAAAATCTATGTTAGGCATGTTTTGTACTTCAGCAAGTGTTAAGGTGGGTGGAAAGGCTAGAAAAAAGTGAAATTAAATTTTACTTTTATTTTCACTTGAAGCTGCATCAGTGGTATAAGTGGTGAATGGCACAGTTGGTGGCGTCCAAAATCTGTGAGTGAAGCTGTATCAATCTGCTCATGAAATTATGTTGCATTTTTTAAAACTGGTGCGGATTTGTTTTGAGTGTTGTCTAGTTTTAGAGCTCCTCAATTAAAAAAAAGAAGCAAAACCATGGCAGCCCAGCACAGCCACGCTCTGTCCATCACCAGCCGCACCACACACGGAAACAGATTGGCAATGCCAAGTGGTGACCAAACGAACTAACGATGCCCAGTTCCACTGGAAAAGGGTCCAGAAACGTTTGGCACTCTTTCTTACCATAAAAAACTTGACCTTGTAAAGTAACAGATTCATTTCTAAGCAACAGACAGGTACAAGAGGCAGCAGTATTTGGAACCAAGCAGTTCCACAGTTTCATGCCCCACGCAGGTACATACCTCACTGCTTTACCAATAAAAATGCCCTAAAAAAAGTTTCTGGAGACATCAAACGATGAACCGTTTAGTCTTGGCTGGCGAAACGCGGGCTTCCGCGAATTTTGCCATGTAGAGTCGCTCAAGCTCAAGCAAACTCTTCACTTGCTGCAAGAAAAGAACTTCGGTTAGGACTTCCACGAACTTTGCCATGTAGAGTCGCTCAAGCATACATAAAAGAACAGTGAAACAAAACTCTAGCTCTATCCCTGTGCTGGGTACTGGACTTGGTTATGTTGGTCAGAGGAACTGTAGCTCTATCCCTGTGCTGGGTACTTTCATTTAAAAATGGCATATGCTAGTATTTCCCTGTGCAGGGAGATGCACCATCAGCCATGCCATTGCTCTACTTTCCTTGCCAGCCATGCCATTGCTCTTATCTTTTAGCATGACCAACTCTAGCATACCTGGTTGTACTAATATACTTTTTGTACAAGGAACGATTGAAAAAGAATTCAGATCGCTATAACAGCTATGATGCTAAGTAAGTAGTAAATCAGTTTGCTGTAACTGTTACCCAGCATTGCCTTGTCCACTGTCCGGCAGATGTACCATTTGATCAAGTGATAAGCATACAAAATTGGTTAGCATCTCATGAGGCAAGACTTGGTGAACTCTACTCATTGTGCAAATATCAAAGTAAAGAGGACCAGATGGCATAAGCCAACGAACAAGGTGGGCATGCAAGAAGTTCAGAGCAAGTTGTGGCTTAGAATTCAGAGAGTACATAATTAAGGCTGTATGAAACAGTAAGTTTGTAGGAAAGTTCTGATGAGCATATGGAGTAAGGACATCTGCTTGCTGTAGGAAGAAAGCAATACAAAAGATTTAAAAGATCGATGGGAGCTAAAGAGTCAATTAGCTGTTGTTATTCCCGTTTATGTTTGTAACTTTGTAATCCTTGTAAATACAAAGGGTATGTATAGTTGAATTGAATGTACTGGTAAGTACTGCACTCTAAGTGCATCTCGCATAACGTCTGACGCCCGAGTCAAATTCAGATATACACATTTAATCTAGACTGTTAAGAGTATATATAAATGAGTGCATTATCATATACTTGTGTTCCACTTCGTTTTGTAGCGTCATGCAATCCTTACATTTGTAAGAAGCATTTATTAAATGTAATATTTGCAATGCTACTTATTCGCATAAATAAGAGTATGTGAGAGTGCTGGCTGTGAGCGCCAGGCGTAACAGAACTTCCATCATAACTTGGGAGAAACTCTCTTCTGCTGCTCACATCTTTCTCTTCACCCACTCTTGACAGAAACAAACATCACTGAAATACTCCCTACAAACCCTCTGTTGATTTCCTACATCACAACTACAAGTTACCCGGGTCGTTTAGGCTTCCAATCATGACAAGTGGAGGAACCTTTTCTGTTTCAGGTGACCGGTGGAGTGTATGCTTTGGAACACCTAGTTGCAGCCCAGCCAGGACTTGTGCAACATAATTGTTACATTGCACTCTGGTTCAATCTCCAGTTCTCCACTGACATTTGAACCAGCTGCAACTATCCATGCCGTATGGCAAATGGCACAACTATGAAATTGCTTCTACCACAGCAATACAACTTGATGCAGGAATAGTGTATGTTTTGATAATCGGGATCAATGCCAGCTTGAAACCATCTGGACTAAATAGCTCTAGGCTACATAGCCGGCCCTATGGCAAATGGCAACTCTTGGTCTTACCTCATAAGTCACATGACTCGAGAAAAGGTTGGTGATTCATGAGATATCAATTAAGATTCAGCCATACATGGATGAAAGAATAATGTAACCATCCATTAGCACTAATCCTGTGTGATGGGCTTAAGATGCCATCAACTTGGGCTGCCATGTCATACTTTCAGAACACCAGAAATAGATCCTTACACCTTGCGTAGCTAGAATTGGAAGGCTCAAAATCTAGCTAAAATTGCAGCCTTTGACGCATGATTGCTACCATGAAGGAAATGGATAGAAGACGCTTACGTGGACCGTGGACGGCCATGTTTATACTTAAGAGGCCGAAGAGAAGAATGTACTCTGGATTACGTCGACCGGAAGTATCAGGAACTTGAAATAGAGCTGGTTTGTAAATTGTAGACAGGGGCCAGGGGATACCTCTAAATTATAGCACAATGGTGTCCTTATAAACTAGCTAGTACAACAATTTAACACGATAAGGACGATGAAACGAAACACATCCGGAGTATTCAGTTCCGGACTGAGGCCTATTTCAATCACTGAATCGACTTTAACCTTCGTTGAAATGCACTCTCAAGAGAAGAAAAATAACAGGATTTCACATGATACGATTCTTAAATCGTTAACTTTAGCTGCTGTATAAACATGATTCGGTCACTGGGGCACAGGTGGGATCCCATACCTGCTCAAGTCAACTCGTCGTCTCTCATGACGCGCTCGCCGGAGGCCCCGCCCCCGGTGCCGCCACCGCCGCCGCCGGAGCCAGCGGCTTCGTCTTCCTCCCGGAGGATCATCTGCATATCGTTGACGCGCGTCCGGACGACGTTGGTGATCATGACTGCGCGCGAAATCAGCGAAATCAGCGCCGGCGGCGGCGGTGGATTGCACGACTAGGGATACGGGGAGGAGGGGAGGGGATGGGGTGGCTTACTCGCGGCGGTGCCCAGGGTCCAGATCCACAGGATCTTGAGGCCGGGGCTCTTCTGGCTCCACCTGGTCACCATTGGAGCCGCGACGAACTTGAGCGCGGTGGTGGGCTGGAGGGAGCGGCGCGGATTTCAGGCAGATTTTCGGCCGGCTTGGAGGACGACGAAGTTAGCAAGGGCTTTGGGTTTTTTCAGAGAACATTTCGCTTGTTTTATGAGGATTGTTTTGTAATATTCAGCTTCCAGAGGAGAAGTAAGGCCCTCCACTAGGCTGGTCACAATCGGCAAGAACATAAGCTACTAGTAACTTACACACTTCTCTAGACTATGTTACTATCTCCACAGTGGGTAGAAATATCTATGTAGTGTCATGCAACGATGTATTTATTAGGTTATAGAGTCACTGTTTCTTGGAGTGTGATGTTCCGGTAACTTAGCTAGTTATCACAAGCACCTCTTTCTTCATTAAATATGTGCCACATAAGCAAAGTTGTATTGAAGTGTGTGATGTTATTCCTAAGTGCCCATTGTGAGGCGAGGGAGCTAGGTTGCGTACTGGCTGTGTACGAGAGGGGGAAAGAAAACGCGTCGTTCCACGGGTGGGGACAAAAGAGAGAGCAGTTCTTTTTTCCCAACGCAACCTCCTCTCCTTCTTTCCCATCCCGACCGGCGGCTAGGGTTCCCCCGGCGCCGCCACAGCTACAGCCACCGGCGCCATCCCTGCTCGTCCAGCGCTGGCCACTGGAGAAGGTGGGCGCCGTCTCCGTCTCCGTCGCCGTCGCCGTCGCCGCCTCCGACATCGACCTCAACCTCGACCGTGTCTGCGGCAGCGGCAAGGACCTCCGCCCGTAGGTCTCCTTCTCGTCAAGCGAGCGCTCGGGACGAGCAGGTACTTCTCTTCTCCGGCCTTTTGGCAGTTGGGATCCTCTCTCTTCTCGTCGTGCCTAGGGTTGTCATCATTGCCACCCCTCCCCATCCCAGGATCTCAATCTCGAGTGGGGGACAGACGCGGCCACGGGCAGCCGCCGGGGACGCCTCTGCATCGTCGGAGGCGGAATTAGGGGAGCAGCAGGCGGCGATTCTGGTGGTGGAAACATTGGGTGTCCTCGGCCAGTGCTGGTTGTCCTCGCTGGCAACCTCGCCGGCTCCAACCCGTCCGTAGGTATTGCTACTCCTTCTCGGTTGTTCTTTGATTTTCTGCGCAATCCATGCTTTAGTTTATGATTCTTGGTGTACGATGTGCTCTATCTACCTTTTTTTTACCTATTTTGGTTGATGGTCGTTACATATGCAAAAGGAGAGGTGCAGCGTGGGGACTGGCTTACTAAGAAAAACAAATCTATATGAAGATTAATTGTAAGGATGTGATGCTTCAAGGACATGATGTGCATGATTAGGGTCTGGTGCTTTTAACTACAATCTGCGACTTATTTACTGACTCCTTTCCAGTTGTAATTTTTTATCTTCTGGTCTGGTGCTTTTATGTAAAACTTATTTACTGATTCCTTTCCAACTGTATTATTTATCTTGTGACATAGGCCGAGCTGGGGACGAGAGACATGACACATTCGTTTGCTACCGTTTCTCCACGTAATCTGATTCTCTGTAATGTTTGCCCAGACACTAAAAGGGTGCAGGTCGAGATGATGGTGCTGAGCACGGATGGGAATGGCGAGATGCGGATGTGCGTGCTGCAGCCCAGCAATTTTTCAGGCCAGGCAATTCAAGCTTGGTGAGGTTCGTTGCTGGATACGCAATGTCTCAATTGGGCAAGGTATTCGAAGCAGCCGTTTGCTCATTACTGTATTACTATTTACTAAAATGAACCCTGAGCCTGCACCCGAGTTACCTTAACTACTAAGGAGCTTTTTCTTAAGATGAACGCCATGGACTATTTCCGTAGAAGTACATGTTTATTAGCCATTTGTCTTGCTGTAGTCGAAAAGTTTCTAACATGCTCGCGTATTTGCCCTGCAGGATTTGGCAATGAAATCTGATGATAGTGTTGTATCTCATGCTGCACATTTGATGGTTGGCATGCTAACTGGGAGTCTAGCTCACGTAACATCCAATGTATTTTTGCATAAACTTTTACATTTAGTTTTGCAATTGCAGTTACAGTCCCAGTGTGTAGATTATTAGATTCATTTAGGTTTAGATTTGATGTATGATGCTATATTCAATTGTCCTGTCTACTACTGTAGGAACCTTTTTGTGTTGGTTTGTCATCTCATATCAATATATCATCTTCGAAGTCTCATTCAGAACCTATAATAACTGTGAAACCACTGAGCAGGCTGTTCATATTCTGATCGATGATAATCTAGATCTTGGACTGCGCTAATATTTATATTTAATCTGTTTACTTGATCTCCTCTTGTTGATTCCATTTCGTCTTATTAGTTCACTGCTATGCTAGATTCTAATACACACTCATTGTTTCGTTTTCACTTCTGCTTTTCAGGAGCGATCAGAATGAAGGTGAGGGGGTTGCAGAGGAGGAAATAAGAGGAGTAGAAAATTAAGGAGACGAATCCAAGGATCTGTGTATGTATATTAATTTCCTACTGCTAATTACGTACATTTGATAATACTTGTCGTAGCCGGCCGGGAAGTAACTAGAAATTAATGCAGACCGGAGGGGAGGACATGAGGCCCATATATGATGGCTCGTACTGGTAAAGCAAGTTGACAGGCAGCAACATGAGCACCAAAGGACATCATCACCATCCGAGTGCCCTAGCTGCTATCGCTTGCTGTGAGTATTTTTGCCCCAAGTGAGATTACGATATCATGCATCCTCTTTCCTATTTATTGCTAATATCAGCACAATGCTTTGGTCCTCTTCACGTTTTATTTGTTCTGCTTATATACCTTGCAATCATTATGATGGTAAGTAGCCAATGGTATAGTGTTGCTTCTCTTACTATGCCATCAGCCATTTTTGGACTTCTTAACTTTGTTGCCAAAGGTATACATAGGCCTTAAATATACACATCATAGCAGAAGTATGGGATGTTCTGTTAGTTATTTGGTTTATGTCAAGCTATGTGTCGGCCTTCTCCTTCTGCTTCTTCCACAAGCATAAATTTTGCTTGCACATTATAATTACCAAATGCATAATTTTTCCTTGTAGGCTAAATTCTGTCAGGTTACTTAGATCTATTTGAAGTTACATTTCCATTATTTTTCCTGTTCCCACTAAAGCGGTTTCAAAGGAAATAGAGCGAATTGACCAACTTTTCTATACATATGCTGATAGCTCATCCAGCATGAAGTTACACTTGTCTGCCATTATTTTTTATGTATACTCAAGGTAGCCATCCTTCCATTTAGATATTCTACATATACTCTCCAATTAGGGATATCATGCTTGGTAAAAATAAGAGTTGTTTTATACGAATCATTGTAAATAGTAATTTAACAGTTTTCAATGCTTATGTAATCCCATTCATGAAAATGTATACTGTAGTTGATACATATAATTTCGATGCAGCTAAATGTTAGCTTCAAACAACTCCCATCATGCGAGCAGGTGTAAGAGACTTCTTGATTGGGTAGTTTAGGTTGAACTTTGGTGCAGAAGTAAGAATGTTAATTATGTTACCTCCTGTTCTTATGAGAAAATAGTTTTCGTGAGAATTATCCCTGTTATAAATACATCATTTCGTTTACTGATTTTAGGTCTGTTGTGGGTGTTAGAGGAGATAGATCGGGCAGAACTACAACCTGAGGTTGTGTAGGTTTAGGGATACCTCTTGCCAAGGTTATATTTTAGGTTTTGACGAAACACAAAAATATATACTCCCTCCGTCCCATAATATAAGAACGTTTTTAACACTACACTAGTGTCAAAAATGTTCTTATATTATGGGACAGAGGGAGTAATATTTAAATAAAGCCCAGTTCATCTGTGAAATAATTATGAATATCAATCCAATAAAGGTATGATGTACAGTGGCAATAACATTTTATAATTCTTTGGTAAGATCACTGAAAACTATTAAATTATGTTCTCTAATTTATTATAGTTAGCTTTGTTTCAGATTGGGTGTTAATAGAAACCATATCCATGTATTGATGGATTCACATTTCAAGGGAAACTACTGAAAACGAAAGGCGACATCTTTGATATTTTTTTTACTCATTATTCACAATGTGAACTTTGGGACTGTCTAAACGAAACTATGACATGATATGTTTCCTTTATTCTTGATTTGTTCAATTTCATACACCTGCTCTGCCCTAGGTTCAAACGACAAAATCTATAGCCTCACTCTGAAGGTCCAAGGAGGTGGAAGCACCAACCATGCCCTCAACAGAGCTGCTCCATTGGATTTCAATCCAAGGATGACATCCAAGAAAAGGTACCCAGCTTCTTTTATAGCTTTAACCATACTAGAGTAGATATATATGGTGCACTTGGCAAGGATATTATTGAGGAATTGCAAGATGATGGGCTGAATTTTGCATTGAAATTGTGAGGCGAGGCTCAGAAAGATACAATGGTTACTTGCGGCGACAACGACGGCGAAGACTGGACCGGGATCTGGGACGGTGGATGTATTGAGCTCGAGCTGAAGATCAGCCACTCCATCCACGACCAATGCTTCTTTTCCTTATTTTCATGGAGATGATTTCAGTACTCTTTATCCGTGTCATGTTAGAGCCAAGATGCATGTGCCACTCGTTCCATCAAGTGTCTAATGAACTTTCAGTTTTGTTCCTGGTTTATCTTGGCTTCTTGCTGCTTAATATGCCTATGATTCAATAACAATACCTACTATAAAAAAAGAAAATGGAAGGGGTGCCTCCTACCTGGCACCGCCCAACTTGCTCTCTTTGTTCAATATTGTGTCGAGTCCCCAAGGGAACATGGTGCTGTATAAACAATAGTGGAAAGCACAGGGCTCTTGAGAATTAGGATTTGTTGGTTTCAGTCGTTTCAAGTTTTACTCGTGAAAACCTTGAGATTAGTTTGTCTGTTGAGAACAATATAGGGTCAATATAAACTCTGGGATACATCTAAAAAAAGTTTGGAGATCATATTTTGTTTTTGCTATGTCATCACCAGATGA